ATCAAAGCATCCATCTTGAATCTCCCATTTTTGGATTTTTGTAGAAGTATCGGAACACAGATCGGAACTAGTGTTGGACTTTGTTTCGTTAGATACCCTAAATTCTAAAGCACCATTTTCAAGTTTGAATTTCGGTCCCAAGATATGCTGAGCACAACTCTTTATGTATGAAATGACAATGCTTTTTATTAGGAACAATGTTTTTATTAAGACTGTTTGAGAACTACATACAATTTGAGAATCTACTACACTAATTTTTACTTATTACATCACGCTTGTAAATACGCATAATTCACTCGTATGAAGTCGGAATTACTTTATTTTTTTCAAACATGTGATTTGATGTTTGTAGTTTATTTTATGACTGTGAAAACACACATTTCCGTTGCAGTTTGGTTTCGGTCGGATTCAAAAGTTCATCCTTAATGATAACCACCTAGACAACCTTAATAATGGTTATTTTAATAATTAGTAGACATGTTTCTCACAAATATAATCATCATAGAAAATGAGAAACTCTAATTGCGAATTATAGGAGATGATTGATGAGGGATTTAGTAACAATGCAAACAATTGCAAACGAAACCTACATGTTTAAAAAACTTATGACCACTTACAGTTCTCCATCACAAATTTCATCTCCATATGAACAAGCCAAAAAAATTAAGTTTATCACTGGTAATGTACACAACCATAATTTGTTCTTTTAAAAACAAGAAAAAAAAATGTAAGGAATCAAACACTAGAGAAACATACCTCGACATTGTGCCACAACTCAGCTTGTTGCATCAAATCATTATCATACATATACACATCTCTCTGGATCATGTTTTATGCGTCAAAAGAGTTTTGAGTATAGTGGTAAGCAATAGCAACCCCCGATGATATGTTCCATCATACAATTTTATGTTTTTTATCACGAAACAAGGTACAATATTAATAACCTAATGCTTCAAGCATTATTAGCATCAATGTTCAAATTTTTGGTATGCTTTGCTACGTTGTTCAATCTGAACACCTGTAGTTTGATTTATAAAGTTCAATCCGATATTCCTAGTCTACTGACAAATATATTTTCCCTTTTCACTAAAGAAAACAACCCATGTCATCCCTAATAATAGTTGTAAATATTCTATCCAACTTTAACCAACGACAACAAGTTTCTTATTCAAATTGAAAAAATTAAACTCTTAATTGTGTAGGGGCCGCGCGAACGCAGGCCCCCACTGCCACAAATTATGATGTAGGTTCGACCACTTGGGCCGACCTTAGGGTAGCACCCCTTCTAAGTGCAATGAAGGTCACTAACCTAGGCCATGAGCCATCTTGACCACCCATTGACCCCATCCAGGTAAGTGAGTTTCCCAATCTCCTCATTCCCATTTTATTGAGTTTCTCCTCTCTTTCTCTTTATTCCACATGCCGATGTGGGATAGTTTAATATGCATGTATCATTACAAGTTTTTTTTTCTTTTTTTTTCACACTTTTGCTTTTACAATTATAGAAACCAAATGGATTGATAAAGTTTTTAAACATTTGATATTTTGTTTGGATAGAAACTAGAAAGTACTTCACGACTATAAGACAAGACATAGTTGGTTCATTGAATTAAAACTTTATTTATTTCTTCTTTTCTCTAGATACAGTAATCATCTAGTGATAAGCTTACTCATACTTTTGTTTAAATCTATCATCGGAATTATAGTAAAAAAACATTGACCTAGTACTAGTTATAAAAAATTAGGGCATCTTGATCATATCCTATATGAGAATGGATTGGGACATTTAACTTGTATGGTATACTCTTTTCCGTTGATGATCATATCTATTTGGTTGAGACATAGCGTCAAGAAAATCAAGACAATTACCAAATTTGCAATTCTATAAGGTGTTTGTAGATAACTACTATTACATGAATTGTTTTACCCTTTTAGTTGTTTTACACTTTGTTTTTATTACAAAAAGTTATGGTTATTTTTACAATAAAGATGTCAAAATTGATGATGAATTTCGCAGTTTTAAGCATAGATATCACCTTCGTGTTAGTTATATTCATTGTTGGTCGTAAAGATCAATCAAAATATTTACCTATTAGCATTATGTGTATTTAATTTTTTTTCTTAACAATTATAACTTTGGCAGCCTTAAAAAAAATTAAAATTTTAAATAAATAAATAAATAAAAACTATGTTATCTGTTATCACGTAGGAACACTTTTTGTTCTGTTTTATCATTTGCATTTTAATGGAGTAAACTGTACAAATGGTTATTGTCATTTTCATTTTTCGATTTACATCCCTAAATGAATATTTTCCCACAAAAGGTCCTTATGAGAGGGTTTTGGTTTAGATTTGGTCCTGAAAGATCAACATCGTTTTAAGGGATTCGTTAAGACATGTGACTTGTACTGTTGTACATGGGTGTAATAACATCTTTTTCATTCCTTATATGTCGTCGATTAGATAGATATCACCATTATATCATTGTTTGTCAACAGACCGAATACACATTCTAACTACACTTGCCCTTGCATCATATTCTAAATTTCATTTGAGAAAAAACTTGGCAAAAGCTTTCTTCCAATGGCATCAAATCTTTGGAGTATTCTAAGGAGTAACCATTTTTGTGACATGTTTTCTTCTTAAAGTTTTGCATGTACACTTATTGTAGATGATATGGAAAATGACACTTTGGCACAACCAACTGTTGCATTTGGCCTTATTTGATTACTAAAGTTACACAAATTGTCTCTATAGTTTTAGTTTTTTTCATGGTTGGTCCTTTATCAACATCATTCATCACCGATACCACCGTTCACTTTCGACAGCAACCATTGTTCACCTTTAGCAACCCCCGTGGTTTTTAGGCTATTTTCAATCTGTAATTTTGATTTATGGACATCGTTGCAACCTATAGGAAACAAAATGAAATATAATTGGCTTATTTGGATTTCAATTAAAACTAACAAAAAATGTTCTCTCTAAAACGATGATATATATTCCTAATGTACCTATGATGGCTATATAAACATTTGGTCATTTTTTCTTGATTAATTTCATGGTTTTTTTAGACTCATATTAATACGATAAGTGTTTTTCATAGTAGTTCCCATTGTTCCAAAACAAATTTTCCGGTTGTTTCAAAAAAAATAAAATAAAACTTTCTTGAGATAAAAAATTGTTATATCTAATAAACATACAACTAACAAACGGTGGTCAGTTATGTCGATTCATTGGTTGATGCACTTCACGTATCCAATAATATGTGAAAGATGAATAACCTATTTAGTTCATGTTTAGCAATGTGATAATTGTTTTAATGAATTTGAAATTATAATCGCCTTCATTACATTAAAAATGTGTATTGTTGTAGTACAAATAACGAAAAAGAAGTGATTCGTACACAACAGTTTTTTATCCGCACACAACATTTTATGTTTAATAGAGTTGTACAATACAACAATTTAAAACACAAATTGTTGTGTATGGAGAAATTATGTTGTATACAAATCAGTAAACACGACTAACGGTCCATTTGCACTTCAACTCCCTGTTGGATTTTTCATCTTCCTCGCTATAATCAATACCTTTTTCAGCTTCTTTGTCTTTCGTATTCTCGTAATCTTTTCCTTGCTCTCCTTCTGCCAGTAAACATAACTATAGATCAAAAAATGTCGGTGGCTGCCGGAAGTGAAGGTGATGGTGGCGGTGATATGAACAAATTAAAACCGGGCCATTTGTATAATTTAATATTAATTGGTTAACTTTGTTAAAAAAAAAAAAAAAAACAAATGATATAATAAGGTAGATAAGTTGTAAGTATGACATGGATTACCAGGATATAATTAAATGGACAAATTTAATGGTCTAACTTGTAAAATATCAAATTGCAGCATTCTATATTTCGCTGGGGTTTAAGTTAATTTAATTTAGCACAACAGATCTAATATAAACGTAAGAAACTTTACTGGACAATTGGGCAGGGGCCGCGCGAACGCAGGCCCCCACTGGCACAAATTATGATGTAGGCTCGACCACTTGGGCCGACCTTAGATTAGCACCCTTCCAAAGTGCAATGGAAGTCACTAGCCTAGGCCATGGGCCATCTTGACCACCCATTGACCCCATCCAGGTAAGTAAGTTCTCCGTGTGCCTCTTTCCCATTTTATTGAGCTTCCCCTCCTTTTCTCTTTATTCCACCTGCCGATGTGGGATAATCTTTATATGCATAGTTGATCCATATTTCATACAAACCTCGTTTCCTTCCACATTTCGGTTTCCTCACCATTGTTTGACAGGAAATGATTTTTAAAAATCGGATATTTTGTTTATATGTATCTCACTAAATGTAATTTTAATTTTGCACTGAATGAAAACTTATTATTAAGTTTTGTTTTGGCAAAAAACAGAAATCATCTAGTGATAAGCATGAACACACTTTGATTCCAACGTATCATTAGAATGATACTAGTATAATAGTAAAACATTGAGCTTGTATTATTGTATACTCTTTGAACTTCGAGAATTGATATTTAGTTGAGACAAAGCGTCAAGGAATCTAACCTAATAACCAGATTTACAATTTCATAACACATTAGTAGCTAATTATAAAAGTCGACTGCTTTAGATGTTTTACACGTTCTTTTTATTTACTTTTTCATGTTTATCTTCTTTAGGATATGGATGTCAACATTGATAATTAATCTCTCAGCTATAAGTGTGAGTATTACTGTTTGTTAGTAGTATTTGAAACATTTACCCTTTTACAAAAACAAAAATATTTAATTTATTCTAACCAAAACAAATATGGATGAAGATAATAAAAGATACATGACAAAAGCCTTCCATAACGTGGAGATAAGTTATTTATTCTTGTGCTTCATGTTATGGGCTACAATACATCTTTTATTTATATTTTATATAAAGCAATTCTAATAAATAAACAGAAAACAATGATAATATAATGCGAGACAGGATCTTGCAGCAGCTATCCAATATCCATGGCTTCTATTGGCATCAATGCTGCAATGCACAGAGCTTGCAGCTCCTCCCCTCACCTCACCACCAAAGATGTAGGAACCACTTCCACCCGCTCCTTAGGAAGTAAGCAGGCAGCTACATTCGTATCTCTTAATGTTGAAGCCCAAAAGCCTCTAAACCCACCTCAAGAACAAAACCAGAGCAAGATTAATGGAGTACTTGAGAATGGTGATGATGCAACAGAAACTAATTGTAGCATCAAGTTCACTGACGAGCGATGGAAACACGGGACTTGGGATTTGAATATGTTCGTGAAATCTGGAAAAATTGATTGGGATGCTCTAATTGTTGCTGGTAAATAGTTTCTATCCTTCTGTTCCTTTAACATTTTAGCTTATATATAAGGGTCTATGTTGGATGACAAAGATGACAAGGATATTCATGTTTTTGAGACCTAGACTTAGTCATGTCCCACCTTGTGTCACCTTTTTTCGAATCAGACAAAAAATCGTAATTTGTATCTATTAACATGAGTCTCGATGTCAATCATAATAGAAAACGGTTTGGGTTTGGTTCTTTCTTATCTTGTTTTACTTAAAAATCAAATGTGAAACCTTTTTTGTGTTTGCAGAAGCTAGTAGGAGAAAGTCTCTTGAACTGCATCCGGAAATGGCAACAAATGAAGACCCTGTGATATTTAGAAGCTCCATTATACCCTGGTGGGCTTGGATCACACATTCTCACCTTCCTGAGGCTGAGTTGTTAAATGGTTAGTCCGATCGCCATTATATTTGCTAATTGATCTTTTGTACTTAAGTTAATTAACCCGGATATCCTACATGGGCACATGGGTACATCCACAACACAAATTAAGGAGCATTTCACTTTGTTTTTAAGAGATCAATCTATTTGAGGTATTTACATTTGTGTATGTAGGTCGGGCGGCAATGATTGGGTTCTTTATGGCTTATCTTGTGGATGTTTTGACTGGGCTCGATGTGGTGGGACAAAGTGGTAATTTCATATGCAAGATATGTTTATTGGCGACAGTCATTGGTGTAGTTCTGTTTAGACAGACCAAGTCTATACAGGATCTCAAGAATCTAGCGGATGAGGCTACTTTTTATGATAAACAGTGGCGAGCATCATGGCAAGATCGAGATTTGAGTGGTAGCTCTTTAGGGAAAAAATGAAATTAATGTATTATCGATAATAAAACTAGTTAGAGGTTTATGAAAATGTTTCTACTTCTAATCTTGTATTATGACGTATGACAAGATTTTGGGATAATTTGGTCTTTAGTTATAATTTATCATATTTTATATATAAAAAAAAAAGAATCATATCAACGAAATCATCCCAAACAGAATTGGCCTACATAAAGCCTAGACTCATTCAGTTAGTTCACTGGTATCTAGTCTTTTCTAGTCGTGCAGATTGAGCATTAACATCAAATTTTTTGTGAGCATCTCTAAAAATAAAAATTAAAAAATATAATTTTTAAACTCATCGAGAGGAGGTCTGCAAGTTGCTATATTTATATATTTAACAACACTAAAAAAATATTATATTGATTATGCCATGAAAGAAACAGGGTCGTTCCAAACATATTTTGGATCTAGGGCAAGAGAAAAAAATGAACCCTTAAAAAACATAAATGTCATCAAGATTTTTATAATAATTCAATAATTAAAAGAAAATTATTTGTACTATCTTCTAAATATAACAATTTACATAAAAAATTTGAATCCCTTTAAAAGATAGGTCCTGGACGGCCACCCCTATCGCCCACCCTCTGAGACAGGCCTGGAAAGAAGCTATGTTACATTGTTTTTCATGTAATGACACATAATGCAAGACGACCAAAGCAACTAAATGTGTTTTAGTGCATAATGAACACACAAGCTTTAATAGAAAAAACATATATTTTTTATTATTTTCGGTTTTTCAACATTGATAGTTTTCATCCATTTTGTTATATGAAAAATAATGAAATTTCATAGCTAATATGAGCAAGTGAGTAAAAGATCTCAGTGAACCTGACATTTTTGATAAACGGATTAGACTAGGGGCGTGTTCGGTATGGAGCATTTTGGAGCGTTTGAGAGCTGCTAGTTTCTAGTGTTTGACAGAACACTCTGTTTAAAACATAAAGTCTCGTTTGGCACTACAAGCTTCTAGCGTTTAGTTTAATCAAAACGCTACAAGTTACCCGCTACCAGTTAGTTTTGTCGAACACGCCTGATAAGTCTATTTTATGAATATACTAAATTGTCATAAATCTATTGAATTGATATATAATTGTCCAGGAATGACACTACTTTGATGAGTTTTTTGGACTTCATATGCAGGTCAATATAGTGCATGCATACAACACATAGCAGACGCTCTTCACCGCTTGCATTTGATCCGGAAATTGAACGAACAGCTCGCTCAGAGCGGGTCGCCAGAAGGAACATCAACACTATGTGTGTAGATAACGTTGTCATGGAAGATATGGTCGATGGGCATGAGGATGCAACCAACAATCCTCCACCACTAGCAGTTCCTAAATTCCCAAACAACAACAATGGAAACAATGGGAATAATGGGAATAACAACAATGTCGGTGCACCAATCATCCAACCAGTACAACCACAACCGAGTAGAAACAACCATGGCTAAAATGGTGGAAACGGAGGAAATTGGGCACAAAATATGGGAGGCAATGTAGGAAACCACAACAGTGGTAATGTCAGAAATCAGAACCAAAATCCTAGAAGTGTCGTTGGTCCTCAATTCGGTAATGGTGGTAACGAGGATGACTGAGATTTTGATGATGGAAGTGATAATGGACTTGGTTGGAATCATAACCTCAACGATGGTAATAGGCGGAATCAAGGCAATCGGGGTGGAAACGGGAACTACAACAATAACTGGAACAACCAGAATTTCCCTAATGGTGGCAACAATGGCTACAACGATGGATTCGGAAATCACGACTTTAGGAATCAATACCGAAGGAATCCAAATGGTGGATTTAACAATGTAAATTGAGGATACTACAATGAAGGTAACCAATTCCCTTATCTTTACTTTCCACAGCCTAATAGACAATATGTGGCGTCTCATTTTCAGTCGAGAGAGTATGTTGATGCTTCACCTATACTCTTTCGCGGAAGGAAATGAACATCATGTGGAAGTAAGACCACAACTAATTAGTGTCTTACCCATCTTTAGAGGCCATAAAACTGATGATCCATACAATCACCTTTATGAGTTCCTTGCAATTGCTAACACGAATACTCCGCGAGGAACTAATAGAGATTTATTTAGACTTCACTTATTTTCGTTCACTTTAAAAGAAAAAGCTAAGTATTGGTTCACTTCTCTTCCCCCCCCCCCCCCCCCCCCATAGTATTACTACTTGGGAGCAATTAAAAACTAAATTTTTGCAAGAGTTTTACCCTGCTAGTAAAACAACGGAAATAAGCAAAGCGATACAAGATTTTGCACAAAAACCCAATGAAGAATTTCATGATGCATTTGAACGCCTCAAGGAATTGTTACGTTCATGTCCCCATCATGAATTTCCTCGTTGGCAACTTGTACGTTTCTTTTATGATGGAGTCGATACTGCCAATCAAACCATGATTAATGCCTCATTTGGCGGCACTATTATGATGCAAGATAGTGATGACGCTTGACGATTCTTGGAGCAGTTGAGTCATGGTTCAAAAACCAATTACTCCGCTAAGAAACGAGACACTCCAGTTTCATCTACTACTTCAGTTGGACTAGACAAAAATTGGAAAAATGAAGTCACATCTGATATTAATTCTTTAAATAAATTTTTTGACTTACTACTCTCTAGTCTAAGCAAAGAGAAATGTGTGTTTTTCTCGCAGGGACAGAAGATATGTGTAATCTGTGGAGATTCAGGACATATTGAAAATGAGTGCATGAGAAGTCAAGAGGAAATCAATCAAGTGCACGACTATGGTCAATTTCAAAATAATCCACAATCATTCAATCGGAACTACAACCAATATGGGAACTACAACAACAATGGGAATTTCAACAACAACCGTCAATGGAATTACCAAAAGCAAAACCAGCCAAAACAGTTCCAGCAGTCCAACTTTAACCAAGGTGGAACATCAAAGAAGGAGGAAACGGATGGCAAGAAGTTGGACAAAATCATGGAGTTCATAACCCAAACATATCAAAAAGCCGACACTAGCTCCAAGTCCATAGTTGCTATCGAGAAGCAGATTGCTCGACTGGCGGAGCAAATTGGGAAAATAGAAGATGGCAAGTTTCCAAGCACCACAACAGTCAACCCATCTCACACCAAAAGACCCGTAAAAGAGCATTAAGTGAACGAGGTAATCACCTTGCGTAGTGGGAAAAAGGTTCATAACAAGGTAAGTGCTCATACATTAGATAATGGCAGTGACACTGAAGTCATCTTTGATGAAAAAGAAGAGTTTGAGAAAGGTTTCAAATATGAAAAACAAAAAGTAGTTAAGGGTAAAGATAACTCTAAAGTTGGGGAGCATGGTGTGGAGGTTAATACCGCACCATACCCTTCGGCTTTAGAGAAACCGACATCATTCTCATTTGGGAAGCGAAGGCCAAAAATGGAAGACATGTGGGATTTATTTAGTCAAGTTAAAATAAATATCCCGTTAGTCAAACTTATTAAGGAGGTACCTTCTTATGCTAAATTTTTAAAGGATTTGTGCGTTCAGAAACGCAAACTCCAAGCACACCTCCCTAAAATGATTGATTTAACCGAGCATGCAAGTTCCATAATATCAAATAAAATTCCACCCAAGCTTAAGGATCCTGGAGCACCTTTAATTTATGTTACCCTAGGTAATATTAATATCAAAAAGGCGCTCCTTGATCTTGGAGCTAGTGTTAATATAATCCCCAGAAATCTTTTTGATCAACATGACTTAGGCATTTTGGAACAAACTGATATTATTTTACGATTGGCCGATAAGTCAACAAAAATTCCCCGGGGTATATTATCAGATGTCATCATTAAGGTGGAAGATTTCTATTACCCAATTGATTTTCTTGTGCTTGACACCGAGAGCACTTTTAAGAAAGTCAACCTTCTATTATTTTGGATCGTCCGTTTTTGGCAACAATAAATGCACAAATTAATTATAGAACGGGTGCAATGGATATCTCTTTTGGAAATAGGAAACTTAGAATGAACATTTTTAATACGTATCCTAACTCACCATCAGATTATGAATGCTATCGTGTGGATGTGGTTGATGACTTAGTGTATCAATTAACTCCTAAAATCTTACACCCCGATCCATTGGAGTTTTTTTCTTTCTAATGACAGGTACAAAGTTTTAGACTTGTATGACATCAATATGGTTGAGGAGGCATTTGAAAATGCTATTGAGCAAGAGAGATCACCATGGAGTTATCAAGTTGAAAAATTGCCAACAAATTTTTCGAACCCACTTAAGCCATCTTTGGAGGAGCCACCTACTCTTGAACTTATAACTCTTCCTTCACATCTTAAATATTCTTTTTTAGGATGTAACAAGAACTTACCAATTATCGTATCTTCTGATTTGACAGGTCCACAGAAGGAAGCATTACTGAAGGTGCTTTCCAAGTACAAGGGAGCAATTGGATGGACCATAGAAGACTTGAAGGGAATTAGTCCAGCCACATGTATGCATCGAATCATCACTAAAGCTGGAGCAAAGCCATCCCGAGATGCATAACGAAGGCTCAACCCGAATCTAAGAGAAGTTGTTAAAAAATAGGTGCTAAAATGACTTGATGCAGGTATTATCTACCCAATATCTAATAGTGATTGGGATAGCCAGACACAGACAGTGCCAAAGAAGTCGGGCATTAAAGTGGTAGATACAGAAGATGGGGAGAAGATCTCAACAAGACCGGTCACCGGATGGAGAGTTTGCATCGATTATTGCAAGCTCAATGTGGTAACGTCAAAGGACCATTTCCCTCTTCCTTTTATTGATCAGATAATTGAAAATTTATCTGGGAAAAAGTTTTATTGCTTTTTGGATGGATACTCGGGGTATAATCAAATTGCTATCCACCCCGAGGATCAATCCAAGACCACATTCACGTGTCCTTATGGTACATTTGCTTTCCGAAGGATGCCATTCGGCTTGTGTAATGCCCCCGACACATTCCAAAGATGTATGATGACTATTTTTTCAGACATGGTGGGAGATGCATTAAAAAATTTCATGGATGATTTTTCTATTTTTGATCATCTTTTGAGACATGCTTAGACCAATTAGAAAGAGTTTTAAAACGTTGTATCGAGTCTAATTTGGTTTTAAGTTGGGAGAAGAATCGTTTCATGGTAAAGGAGGGAATTGTACTTGACCACGTTGTCTCCGCGTGTGGTTTTGAAGTCGATCGGGCTAAAGTACAAATTATTTATACTCTTCCCCCACCCACTTCGGTAAAAGGTGTCCATTCTTTTCTTGGACATGCCATCTTTTATCGAAGATTTATTAAGGATTTTAGTGCAATCTCAAAACCTCTTTGTAACTTACTTTTAAAAGACGCACCATTTTCCTTTGATAAATCATGTCTTAAATCTTTTACCACATTAAAGAACAAACTTGTTGAAGCCCCTATCTTGCAATCACTCGATTGGACTTTACCTTTTGAAATTATGTGTGATGCAAGTGATTACGCGGTAGGGGCAGTCTTGGGACAACGGGTGAATAAAAAACCCGTTGCAATTTGTTATGCGAGCAAAACTTTTTCGGATGCACAATTGAATTACGCTACTACCGAAAAAGAGTAGCTTGCGGTCGTGTTTACACTTGACAAATTTATATCTTACATATGGGGATCTAAAGTTGTAATTTTTACCGACCATAGTGCCATTCGCCACCTCTTGGAAAAGAAGGATGTCAAACCACGTCTCATAAGATGGATCCTTCTTCTTCAAGAGTTTGATCTTGAAATTCGGGACAAAAAGGGTTCCGAAAATATTGTGGCGGATCATTTATCTAGAATAACTAATAATGATAACTCAACGGAAGTTATTGAAGAAAATTTTTGCGGATGAGCATATTCTTGCTGTCAAAACTATACCGTGGTTTGCTAATTTAGTGAATTACTTTGTGACAGGGGAAACTCCATCATATTGGACTGCTCAACAAAGGAGGTTCTTCCACTCTCAAACAAAATACTACATATGGAGGACCCGAATCTTTTTAAAATTGGAGCGGATCAAGTGATTAGGAGATGTGTACCACATACGAAGCAAGAAGACATTCTTCGACACCGCCATTCATATGCATGTCAAGGGCATTTTAGTGCCAAAAAGACAAGGCACCGGGTTCTACAAAGCGGTTTTTTCTAGCCCTCTATTTTTAAAGATGCACATACATTCGTTAAAGCTTGTATCCGTTGCCAACAAGCTGGGGGGATCTCACGACGGGACATGATGCCAATGACCCCAATTTTAGTAGTTGAAATTTTTTATGTATGGGGCATTGATTTCATAGGTCCGTTCCCCACATCTTTTGGCAATCTATACATTCTTGTAGCCGTTGATTATGTATCAAAATGGGTCGAAGCTGAGGTTACATGCACGAATGACCATAGTGTTGTTTGTAAATTTGTTAAAAAGAACATATTTTCTGGACATGGAATCCCTCGAACTATTATTAGTGACGGGGGTTCCCATTTTAAAAACCGACATTTTGCAAAGTTACTTAAACACTATGGTGTCACACATAGGATAGTTACTCCATATCACCCACAACACAAGTGGACAAGTAGAAGTGTCAAATAGGGAAATAAAACAGATCTTAGAAAATATTGTTCATCCCGACTGAAAAGATTGGTCATTAAGATTAGATGATGCATTATGGGCATATCGAACAGCCTGTAAGACGCCCATTGGAATGTCCCCGTATCGACTTGTTTATGGAAAGCCATGCCATCTCCCAGTGGAGTTGGAACACCACTACGAACCATTCGAGCTAAAATTGATTATTGTTCCTATACAATTCGAACGATCTATGGGGTATTAGGCATCAAAATTTGGATATTTATAGACGGGGAATAATAAACCTTTATTCCTTTTGCATTTTATCCAGCGATGGAACAAAAAATGAGAAATTCGTTTCTTCTTTTTATTTTGTGCTCAATAAAAAATGAACAATTATAATTCTATAGGGTTGAATAAAAATTCAATTAATCTTTTGATAAAATTGCTATGCTTAGTCTATGACTCGTTGGTTTTTTGAGGGTTAGTATAAAAAACCAGCCCCACCTAACTTTGAATTGAGTGATGCAGGTACGGAAAGGAAACTTCAACTTGTTGAATTGGAAGAGATTCTAAAAGAAGCTTACGAAAGCTCAAGGATCTATAAAGAAAAGATGAAGGCATTTCATGACCGACATATTATCCGAAAATAATTCGTTGAAGGACAATTGGTGTAGCTATTCAACTCTCGTCTCAAACTCTTCCCCGGAAAGGTTCAGAGTAAATGGAGTGGACCTTTTGTGGTGAAAAATGTGGCGGATCATGGAGCCATTGAAATCAAGGACATGAAAGGTGGTGAATCATTCAAGGTAAACAGACAAAGACTCAAACCATACATTCGAATGGTAGATGGAGAAACAACACTCGTGGAGAAAACAATGCTCGAGGTATCACAATATTCAGAAACAACTTAGTCGAGGTAAACCGTCTGACTGAAGACGTAAAACTTAGCGTTTTTTGGGAGGCAACCCGTGGTTTGGTGTGTTTTAATTCTGTTTGTATCGAGGACGATCCAAGGTTTATAGTTGGGAGGGGGTATTTAACTTTTGCTTAAATTAAAAAAAAAAGAATTGAAAAATACCCGAAAAACGTTCCCGAATAGCCATCGGGCTGCCCAAGTTTTTTCCACCGACGAAATCCCACTTGAAATTACCGAAATGCCCCTTTCTTACATAAGACGTCATAGGACGCGTCTAAGACGCCGACTAGGATGCCGACGCGTTTTTCATCCGTTTTATGACGTTTTCTGCATAATTGTTGGTCTCCTTCTTCTCTAAACTGCTATAGCCGAAAACCCACTTGTTTTTGCCCATTTCCTTCGATTTCTTGGCCAAAACTCAACCGAACTTCGTGATTTTTGTTGCAATCTTCAAGAAATTAAGTAAGAAACATCACATTGCAAGATTTACACACTCTAATCACTTATTTGGGGCCGGTTTCAAAACCCACAAAAACTAGAGTTTCAAAATTTTTACTTATTTTGGGTCTTTGCTTCAAGTTTTTGGCTCTTCTTCACTATAAACACATTTTCAACAAGGTATGTGCTTCAAAACTCCATCTTTTATTTGAATTTCAAAAAAATTTCATGTATGTTCATATATGTTTGAAATTTTGAAAAAAGATGCAGAATATGATATATATATATATATATATATATATATATATATATATATATATATATATATATATATATATATATATATATATATTGGTATGAATTCTTGTGAATTAGTATTTGTAGTTGTTAGAAGTATGTTTCAAACAAGTTGCATGTGTTGATTTGGGAATTTTCTGAAACTTGAATTTTTGTTGTTAATTGTTCCAAAAAAATCATGTTGGAAAAACGTTTTTATGTTTATATTTGTGTATGGATTAAAAAAAAATCAAGTTCTTAGAAATTTTCAGAATGACACTGAATTTTGACACTGCATTGTTAGTCTGAATATTTACATGTTACAGTTCTGTTCTGGTCTTAGTTAGAACTTGTCAATTGTAGTTAACCTTTGGTTTAGCTGTGTTTTTACTTATTGGATAATTTTTTGAAAAATATTTAGTTACTGAAAATATAACAGGACTTAAAACAGTTATTTATTTAAATTGATTTTTTTTTTTTAAATTTTGTTTGGAACAACTTGCCAACTGAATTTTTTGTTTTATTTTTGCGACATTTGATATGCTTAATGGCAAGTTTTGTTTTGTGGTTTTGTGTGTGATTGATTTTGCAGATGCCAACAAAGAGATCAAGGGTAGCATCATCAAGCAGTGCAGCCAGACAACCAATTAGACAACCGGAGCCAAATGTACCTGTGGCCTTCAACCCACAGTATCAGACATTACATGAGCATCCAGACGACATTCCCCCGAGAGTTTATGAGGCAACTCATCCGATTACGGGTTTTATTGTAGAGTACATGGTGGAGCGACTGAGCTTCACTGGGTACAATATTGTGGAGACGTATGATCGCAATGGATGGGGTGGAGCGTTAGACTTCAATCCCACGCAAATTTATGTTGATATAATGCGGGAATGGATGAGGACACTTCGACGTGTCGAGGTACCTGGTAGACCGGAAGACTTGCAGTTGATTGGTACGGTTCGTACTCATGATATAGTGATGACTGTGCAGGGTATTCGAGACATGTTTGTAACGACCCAAAAATCACGACCAAAAATTTCTTTAAAAGCATTACTAGAATCATATTTATAAAAACTGTATCATAAGTCATAACATAAATTCTCGAGTATTAATTCAAAACATAATATCATTATCAAAGTCGAACATTCCCAGGCTAACTGACTACGGTGTGTGCACTGCAATCTCCCCGAGCTCCTCTTTTGAAAACTGGGTACCTGAAACCAAAACTGAAAACCGTAAGCACGAAGCTTAGTGAACTCCCCCAATCTAACACATACCATACAAAAACATATAAAGCACATATTGGGCCTTGCCCACTGCATCGGACCAATGTCCGGACTAACTGGGGCCTTGCCCCCTACATCGGACCGAAGTCCGGAAACTGACTGGGACCTTGTCCCCTGCATCGGACCGAAGTCCGGACTAACTAGGGCCTTGCCCCCTGCATCGGACCGAAGTCCAGAAACTGACTGGGACCTTGTCCCCTGCATCGGACCGAAGTCCGGGCTAACTGGGGCCTTGCCCCCTGCATCGGACCGAAGTCCGGAAACTGACTGGGACCTTGTCCCCTGCATCGGACCGAAGTCCGGGCTAACTGACTGAACATAGCATAGCATAACATATCAACTAGCATGAACACATATACTGCATACTACATCGGGCCGTAGCCCGGAACACATAACACATAACACATAAAACATAGCACATAAATCCTGTCTGAGCCACGAAGGCATCAAACATACTAACTACTGCATCGGGCCGAAGTCCGGAAACTACTGCTAACTGGACGGGCCGGCATTGTGGCCTTAGACCCGTCCCTACTGGAAGGAAACTCACCTGAGACTGCTGAACTGATGCTGCTAATCCTCTTGACTGCTACTTGACCTCTGACTCCGAACTGCTGCTCCACTAGCTCCTCAAGCTACCAATATCAATATAACACTTAGTCCGACTGACCTCCAAAGGTTACTAGGTCAAATCTGGTCAAGGTCAAAATCCTGGTCAAAGTCAACCTTCCGGGTCAACCCTACTCGCCGAGTCTATCTACTGACTCGCCGAGTTCATATGCCCTGAGTCTTTCTTATTCGCGACTCGACTCGCCGAGTCAATCCATGACTCGCCGAGTCCAACTAGGTCCAATTCCTGTCCTGTCCAACTCGCTGAGTCACCACCCGACTCACTGATTCGGGTCTCGACTCGAAGGGTTTAGGGTTTCGCGATCTGACTCGCCGAGTCCAAGAACAGACTCGCCGAGTCCTAGACAATCTTCAACCAACTCGTCGAGTTGTTCATCCAACTCGCCGAGGCCATGCCTATCTTCATCCGACTCGACGAGTTGTTCATCCTACTCGTCGAGTTCCTCCTCACCTTCAAGCTACTCGCCGAGTCCACTCGAAGGACTCGCCGAGTCTATCCATTCCTCAATCCATGCAGTGGCTTTTCGAGCCAAACTGAACTTCCAACTCCTAGATCCATACTTCTAGGGCCTATTCCCCACGTAAAGTGGCAAACTTTACGTGTAGATTGAGAGATCTAAGCTCAAAACACACTAAATTCGGGTTTATGGCAAACATGCTTCTTCAACATACCAAAGGCTGATACTTTAGGGGATTCTAGACCAAAACCAACATGGATCTGAGGTAGCAACCTCAGATCTGAACCTCCAACTCGAATTGGTTACATATCATACCAACAATGGCCAAAACCCACACATAAGAGTAGATCTAGATGAAAAAGAGAGTCCAAGCAACAACTTATTACCTCCACTTGGTCTGAAATGACTCCACAATCCAGATCTACAATCCCTTCTTGCACCTCCAAGGTCTTTCTTCCTCCTCCAAGCTTAATGCATTCTTCAAGGCAAGATCTAGCTCCAAAAACGGAAATGGCGGCTAGGGTTTGATGTTCTGGGGTAGAGAGGCAATAAATGAACCCTAGGAAGGAGAATGAGACACTTAAATAGGCTCCAAGTTCCCGGGTTTAGGGTTTTCCCCGTTCAGACCCAACTCGCCGAGTCTCCCTGGCCGACTCGCCGAGTCGGTCGCTTTCACCACAACCCGGATCCCGCTCGGACTCGCCGAGTCCCTCCATGGACTCGTCGAGTCTCCCCTAAACTTGAGGTTTTCTTTCTTTTCTTGGCTTTCCAAACTTTGGGGTGTTATAACTCTCCCCCACTTAAACTAAACTTCGTCCTCGAAGTTTGCTACGATCAACTGCCTTTGAGTTGCCTCCAACTCTCGGTCTGGAAAAATCTAACACCCTTATGCCCAGCACTCCAGCCACTCACCATGCCGATCACTACTGTTGGTACATACTGAATCTTTCTCCTTTCCATAATTTCCTCAACGATACTTCCTCCGACTGAAAATCATGTTGCCTCTCAACTGCCTACTGGATGCACTGAGACTACCCTTGCTCAACTATTCTGCCAATATCTGAGTTGCCATCTCCCACCGGTCACTACACTCCATCGCAATCTCCTAGCCGCTCCTAGCGACTCCGTAAGATACCCCGACTGTCCATAACTGTCCCATCTATTCTGTCATCCATACTGAATCAGCTTGCTTATATCCCATCTGATTACTCAACTCCTACTAACTCGAGTCTTTCATCCCGAAGAAAAGCTACCTGCCTAGCTATCTTTACATGTCACTTACACTCGGCCGAAGGCTCAACTGATCCCGCTGAGAGAGACTTGTCATTTCCAAATCAACCAACTATACCGTCAACACTTGTATTCCAACTCAAATACAATACTGACCCAAAACTCTGAAACCTTTCAAACACTAAATTGGCTGAAACACTGAGCTGCCTGAAACACTGAACTGGCTGAAACACTGAGCTGCCTGAAACACTGAACTCAAATCCAACTGTGGAGTCAAAGGACTCCTCCCTTAGTCGCTTCCACGACTTCTGAATGAAATCTTCCTCAAGGACTAGTTTCCACTAGTTATCCTGTCACTGTGGCTCTAACAACCTTCCGATCCAACCGATCGGATCCATACTTCACATCCTGACATCATCCATTCTATGACTAATAACATGATGGCTCCCAGACTGACGGTAGCCCTTAACATACCCGAACCTCAACGGTCCACTGCTACTCTGATCTCATAACTGATGTGACGATCTATAGCCAAGATTCGCTGACTTAGCCATAACTGAACCATTTGGGAAATCCGAATCTAATCCGTGGATTCCCATATTCCCACCGCTGCACCCGAACGGGTGGGAATTACTACATTCCCGCGTTCAACCACGCGCTCATGCTGCTACCAATCTGATAAAAGCCACGGCTACACCCGCGGATTCACAAGTCTCAAATACTATCTGGCTGCTAATGAACGCTACGGCTACCCCCGCAGGCTTACAACACTCTACTACTATCTGACTGCTAGTGAATGCTACGGCTACCCCCACAGGCTTACAACACTACTACTACTATCTGACTGCTAGTGAATGCTACGGCTACCCCCGCAGGCTTACAACACTACTACTACTATCTGACTGCTAGTGAATGCTACGGCTACCCCCGCAGGCTTACAACACTCTACTACTATCTGACTGCTAGTGAATGCTACGGCTACCCCCGCAGGCTTACAACACTACTACTACATCTGACTGCTAGTGAATGCTACGGCTACCCCCGCAGGCTTACAACACTACTACTACCATCTGACTGCTAGTGAATGCTACGGCTACCCCGCAGGCTTACAACACTACTACTACCATCTGACTGCTAGTGAATGCTACGGCTACCCCGCAGGCTTACAACACTACTACTACCATCCCGAGGACATCCTGACTATCCCTAGTCCCGCTAGTGATTCTTCATCCCGATTTCTCAAACCAGCCCTCAGTCTTTGAATTCTGCATCATCCTCGACATCTTATATCCTTGATATACTTAGTGCTTCGTCGAGGAATTCTCCGGCTTGGTTCCCAACCCAACTGTCTACTAATCCGGATACAAGAAGCTATTGTTGGGAAGTTTCCAACCTCCCAACTCCTGAATCTACGCAACCTGCATGCTGCCTCATACACTGGCTACTAATACAAAACATCTCTTGTTGCCCGCTCTCGGGTTCCTCATTCCACTCACTTGAGTCTTTACAGGTGGTCCTCAAATCCTGGATTCCTAACCAGTTTCTAACCATCTCCATTACATGAACCCACTGCTGGGAAAAGTTCTCGAACTCTCAATTCTGAACTTCTCAATCCATCCAGCACTGTGCTACTACCACTTCTTCTCAGAGGCCGCGCACTCATCCTGAGTGACTCTTATCCATGTATACCCGGAGGGTTCTCCCCCACTTCGATCCTGCTTACCCCTTGCTGCTTCACATTCAAAAGAGATCCCGACCTTTACTACCATTCCAAAACTTCTACTGGGAACCCAAGCCCGCCAGGTAGGAATTTGACCATTCCATCCAAACCACTATCCACTCCGAACTAGCGAAACGAACCAGATCTCTCCCTACCATGCTACAGTTACTGCATCCTCCGAAACTTCTCCATATGAGCACATCCCCTAACTACCAACCAATTATCCGAGGTATGAAAATGGCATATGACGTAATCACAAGCAAGCCACTCCATAACACAACACTTATACCACAATTGATGCAGAAACCATAACAATATAATCATAACATAAGCTGACAAACACAAAGTTACATACCTCCATTACTCAGTGCTGCTCGAATCCCTGCTGAAATCTACCGGAGAAACTCGGCTCCGAGCCGTAGGCACCCTTGCCCGGCCTTGACAACCACTGACGGTACTTGAAGTTCCAAGGGCAGGAGCTGGCGCCTGCCCTGCTGAATACAAACTCGGACAGTGGGCCTTCTTGTGGCCCCTCTGACTGCAATGGAAACACAACGGATCAAGTCCCTGGGCGATGGTAACAACACAGTCTCTGCTAAAATGACCAATCTGGCCGCACTTGAAACACCCAGCATCGCCACCACTTCTACGCCTACACACACCCATGTGCGTCCTTCCGCACTTCCCGCATCGACTGCGGCTCTGATAGTTCCTCGTCCTCAAATCTGAACTCTTGGGCCTCTTACT